GCACTGGATTAATTTGTTGTCAACACTGTAGATGTATGTATTCTGTTTCATTAAAAGATGAAGGATGGAGGTGGAACGTACAGTACTGCATTTATATGTTAGTAAGAGCAGTTAGACAAGTGCTTTACCCTGTACAGACAACCCAGATTCATTACATGTGAAAACTGTATAGATACACGATAAGTACTTTAATTTTTTCTGATCAATTTCTTAACTTTCTATAAATACTCTCTCACCGCAGATGAATATAACTCTACAATACTTTACCCCAAATACATCCACACCACCCTTACTTGGGATCTAAAACAGCCCTACACCATTAATGAATTCTCACTGCTCTAACGATGTGGAGGAATATATACCTATACTAGCCTACTATATATACTTCACCATTGTTATTTTAAACTGCCCCTTCTCTGTGCCTAAAAGGCCCTGTTGGTTTAATAATCTCTCACTGCTAGGGTAGTATGCAGGTGAATATATACTATACCTCAACCATATACCTCAACCATATACCTCAACCATATACCTCACCACAAGACACCTATCCTTCAAAACATCCCCGCTCGGTGCCTAAAATAGCCCTGCTGCTATAAATAAAACCAGTCATCCCTACACCAGCGTGCTTCTCAAATCGGAGCAGCCAAAAATAGAAAGCTTTTCCCCATGGGGGTGCAAGAATCGAAGATTAGCCTCAGGTTACAGTGCCCAGAGAAAAGTATCAGGACGCGACCTGATGAAACAGAGATTGTAAACACGCCAAGTTCATGCAGAGGTTGCCAAGCCACAAGCGTGAATTCTGTTCTTTCCTTTATATCATCAGTTTTGAAATGGACATAGAAGTATTGTGTCAATCAGGACGCTTGGGTTGCTGATTTTATTCATAGATTGCAAAGATTGTAGATTTAGGTGTGATAAAATGATAATATTGACCTCAACCCTCTGATTTTGTAACAACATACAAAGGGCTATGAACCGATGAACGACATGAGCTATGTTTTAACATGGCTTTTTCTTCATCTCATGAGTATTTTGTTGATTATATCGCTTCATTTGTTCAGAGCCAGAAGGGTCTTAACACTTTGTTCAAGAGTATGAGTTAATGCCCTTCTGAATCCAACCAGATAGATATGATATGGATGATAGACATATAGCCAAAGCAGAAGAAGAAATAGTATTTCCAGCTATTGCAATATTTAATAGGGCACTGATAATATTTAACACTAAGTAATCAGACAGAATATAAAACTATTCTTTTAAGAAAATAATAAAACATAATAATTTTGTTTACTCAGGGAAGCCTCGTCAGCATCAATGTTGTTCTCCAGGCATGATCACCCTGCAATTATCATTACCTCAGCAATTGCCACATACTCATTTACACCTGGGCGGAGAGTGGCAAATGTGGATGAATGTCTTGCAAAATTACATTAGTGCCGGGCTGGGATCTGAACCCTCAACCCTTAGATTGAGGGTCAAGTGAATGAACCACTACACCATGACACCTCCATACATAAAATAGCTATAGCAACATAGAAAGACAATCCTACCTGATATTGAGTGCATTGGAAATTATATCTGGATAGAATTTCAGTACATTATTCTGTATCAGGGGTGATAGTGAGCACTAAAAAAAAAATAGGTTTTTTGTTTTCCCCTCAACCACGCCCCCCTTGAGTAAAAAAAAAAAAAAAGAGGATTCGTGAGGAAAAAATGGCATCTAACAACATTCCCCCCTTTCGAGTAAGAAAATTGGGGAAAAAAATAGGGCAAAATAAAGAAGAATAGAGAAAATAAGGGGGGAATCGGGAAAATCAGGATAAAATAGGGAAGGGAAAAAAAATCTGGAAAAAAAAAAAAAAAAAAAAATCATTTTTTTTTTTTTTTTTTTTTTAAATCGGGAAGAAAAAAAAAAATCGGGAAAAAATCGGGAAAAATAAAAAAAATCGGGAAACCGATTTAAATCGGGTTTTTATCAGGCCTGCTGTATTCACATTTTATATAAACAATGCTAAATTTTTGTAAAGTGATGATATCTGAACTTTGTCAACATAACGTTGGTTACTTTTATCAAACTCAATTTTAGGGCATTAGATGAATTAATTGAGCATATTCCCAACTAATGTCAGAACATATATAGATGATGTTAATATGTGACCTGCCTGTGGTGAAAAGTAGATCAAGAATGATAGAAAAATCAGATGAATAATAATTATACAGAGCACAGTATTTGAACTTCGTCAACATAACATTGGTTACTTTTATCAAACTAGATCTCTCGACATTTTAGATGAATTTATTGAGCATATCCCCCAATAATGTTGCTATGTGACTTGCCTGTGGTCAGAAGTAGATCAAGAACATTTGAAAATCAGATGGATAACACCTATAAGTTCACTGGTTCACTACATAATTAGATTGACAAATTAAATATAAGTCTGTTTAAGGTTCTTTATTGATTTCAACACAGTGGAGGTGCCAAGCAAATGTCAAATCTATACAATTTTCATTCCAGTTCAATGCCGAGTTATATTAGATTAATTGTAGTAATCTATATAACCTAGCTTGCTAATGAATTACTCTAATTGTAAACTGATGTCTGCAAGGTGAGTGTCTTCTGATGCAGGGGCCTGTTTTTCTATCATATGGGGCTACACATGGGAAGTTTGCAGCACATAAAAAGTGGTGTAGGCTAACATGTTAGTATTGACTAGCGGCATGATAATGGCAAGCTAGCCACAACTATTCTTTTATTAAAGTATATGATTAAATATTTAATAACTATTTAATCATAAAGGCAATTTTTTGCACAAATATATATAACTTTTGTGTTATTTCTGTATGAATGGCATTTGTTATGTGTGTGTGCTTTTCTTTTTCTAATTTTCTTCTTGTTACATTGTTTTCCGCAGTTAAGTATTCATTTGTATAGAAATTGCACAATAAAAATTTACAATTATTATCATTATTTTTATTATTAACTGCATGTTCTTACTATAACATGTCAGACTTTGAATATATATATATATATATATCAACTATTTCAGACATAGTGATACATTTTTTTTGAAAGAGTACTCACTTCTAATGGACAATGGTCAACACCCTATGACACTTCAGTACAAAACTTTTTGGCTTCTTTCGATTTTGAAAGATGTTTTTGTTTTTTTGCATAACAACATCTTTCAAAAACATTAATCAAATACTTTTGGTTAAAGATACACTATCTGATGTGTTTCATATATGAGGGGCACAACATACAAGATGTAAATTAGTAAGTGGTAAAGCAATATATTCTTTAAAATATTGAGGAAAAAGCCATTTGCCAAGTTTATGATAAGATGAGTGATCATAAAATTCCTCAAATCTAGTCAGCACAATTACCTTCACATTTGTTCAGTATTTTTTTTTTATAGCATAGCTGTTAGCCCAAAAGGAGGAGATAGAGAGAGGGAGGGGGGGGGGGGGTGGAGAGCGAGAGAGAGAGAGGGTGAGAGAGAGAGCTGAATATAACACTCGGATATCAATGTAATCAATAAAATGCAAACAACTGAAAATGAAAATAATCAAGAAGATTTTTTAAGAAAGATCAGAATTAAACCATCTAGGGATGTTGAGACATGAATGTAAAAAAAATGTTATCTATAACAAAAAACAAAAAAACTTTGGATGGAACAAGCTCTCTACAACAACAATGATTAAATTAAAGAGACAAGAGCTATCATTTAGGGGCAGTCCAAGACTGACCATTCTCCTTGCCCCTCAAAAAGATTCTCCTAAAAAGATTCCCCTCACCCCCACTGATTCCAAACCTTCCAAATCAATACCAATTTGTCTCCATTCTAAAGAGCTCTCTTTTGATGCCCATTCTTATGAAAAGCTTGACACCTACAGTAATATCCCAGTTATATGCCAATCTTGGGGTCATTGTTGTCCAGAAGTGCACTGTTTCTTTTAGTCCTAACAAATTATCTTGTTGCAGGTTCTTTATTCCCTCCCTCAGCTTGGTAAAAACCTTTTGAGAGCAGCTCGATCCAGTCACAAAAGAGGATAGTGTGTTCTAATGATTTTGCTGTAAGGCACTTCCAGAGTTGGAGCTTAGGACTAAACTCTTGTCCTAAAGATTACAGATGTCCAACTTCAATTCCTTTCCAATCAAACAAGTACAAGAGTTTAGTCCTTGTTTGGTTGTAAAGGAATTGAAGTTGGACATCTGTAATCCTTAAAGTATCTCCTATTTTAAATACACCAATTGAGGACCAGTCAGTTCACTGTATACATGTTGATCCATGCACTGCATTTGGAATAACATCAAAACAACAAATACATGAAACGGTGAAATGAAACATCTGTAATCCTTAAAGTATCTCCTATTTTAGATACACTAATGGAGGACCAGTCAGCTTACTGTATACATGTTGATCAATGTACTGCATTTGGAATGACATAACAACAACAAATAAATGAAACAGTGTTTCAATAGATATGCAGTGAAAATATGGAACACACAATTTAAATGTCAATTGATCTTGCCGTTACTGCACTTATCAAATACATGGCAAAACAAGTTAAGAATAACATTTTACCCTCGGAATCAATTTAAGAGATAATCTGTTAAAAGGGACTTGAAAAGAAAGAGTGGGCAATGTTAAATGTAAGTACCTATTTATATTAAAAAAATTACCAATATAAGCCTGCACTTTACAAACTTAATATTGTGCTTAAAGCCGTAAGATATATGAGTCGCTTTGCTCATTACCAAGAATAGCTTTTCATTCGGTTTTTAGTATGTTCTATTTTTAAAGAAACAGAATGCATACTGGTATGCAAGCTTATGATTAAGAACAACTTGTTTAAATTAGTGATTGCAATGTCGAGTTGCAAATTTTAGTAAACGAATACGGTACATCAACATCTTAAAAGATATTAAGTTTTAAACAGACAAAACAATATGAAGGTCTGCTTGATCAATTTTTTGTTCTTCTTGTTTCCATTTCTAGCACTGCCTTGGAATAGAGGTGGATGAGAAGGGCAAGGACAAATTATCCATATTTCATCAAGCCTAATTACTGTGCTCAGACTACCCCATGGAGAGATCTAAAAGGGCGGCCATGTTTAGTCTGAAAACATTGATATGCCTCGCAATCATAACATTAAATATGCTCAACACGGATGCCAATTAACCCTTGTTAACATTTTAATATAGACTACTACTAGTCCATGTCTGTCGAGAATTTGCTCATTAAAATTTGATCGATACAATCTGGAAAATGTGTGTATTTAATCACCAGCACCATGTCTGTGCGTTTTCTAATTCACCCTCAAATAATATCATATGATTTGGTGTGGGAGCACTATAGTAGATAACTAAAATATTGCAGGGCCCCAATAAAGAGCCTTATTAAAAGTGATGATCGAGGCCAACTTTCATAAATGAGACTATATTATCATTTCTTCTTCTTATGTAACATAGTTTTCAGAATGAGAAGCTAGGAATTCCAAGAGACAATTTAAATGATTTCTTTTGTTCACCAAAAACAATTTTTGAATACAGCTTATAGCTTTATTGAACAATGTATACATATATTACACTAAATGTGGAATAAGCCCATTATATTTCAAGATTGTTATCTTTCAATTCTAAAATATACAAAGCAAGATAAAATTCGGTCTTGGGGGTTTCAGAAAGAATGCAAAAGGCCCTTTCCTTTACTTAAAGCCTTATATTACTTAAACTGTAAATTGAGTAATGTAATGCTTTCATCTTCAGCATGTACAAACACTTCAAAGGAATTACATTGGAGCCTTTCACATACGGTGCTTATATCCCTGTTTGCATCTGTTTGCATTCCTCTCAAGTATCTCTCAACCCAAAGACACGCCCCTTCAGTTAACCAATTAAAATCCTTCTCTAACATCTCCCACTAATGTGTGAATGCAATACTGCCCTCATGCCGGATCCTCCATCAAAACAAACAAAATAAATAAATACATGTGCGGCCGGCCTTCGTCAAGAACGAATGGAACAAATTATATATGCCCTATAGCTGCAGGCCTCATGACGATGTACCATGATTCAAGACTAGAAAATGGTCCTGTGGAGTTGCGAAGAGAGGGCCGCAATGTTCAAATAATTTACTGGAAAACAACATTAATTATGCACTTAAAGAGTGGGCCTTAATTTTCTTTCTATGTGGAAGGTGGAATTACTATGGGGGCGGGTGTGGAGAGTTTGTAACATTTAAAGTAGTCACCCAGAGAATCAAAAGTGTTTTGAATTGATGAAAAATTCATATCATTGCGAAGGGAAAGCCTTACTGATACAATATAACGACTTCCCTCTTTAAAATATGTTCCGGCATGAGGGCAGTATGGCATTCACACATTAGTGGGAGATGTTAGGGCCCGCAGTAATCATCTCTAAAAAATGTTAAATTTGAGATACAGATTTTCTGCCTTCAGCGGTCCTCCCTAGAGCGTCAAGCTACGAGACGTCACATGCGAGACAGAGCTAGCCACACGATTGCATTTTACACCTTTCCATGATATCTATATGATTTTTCAGCATATTATTCGTGTTTTTAAAGAGAAAATCTTTTCATCCGTATATAATTTGTCCAAAATTATCAGTTGTCGTGAATTTTCTTTGGGTGATCGACTAATTTAATATGTGATGAAGGCAGCATCTTTTCCTTCTCATGATTCTTTTTTCTTCTCATAATTCATTTTATTTCCACTCTCTGCCTTACAAAGTAGAAAGTGGCAATATTGCAAGAAATTCATGTTCTCGTTGCTGAACAAGCACAACTATATAATTGGAGCCTTCATTAGAATGTAAGAAATAGGTCATCGCTATTACTCATAAATCTGTTTACATATAAAACTGAATTTCTAAGTGCCTCATAATTGCTTGTTTACATTTTTGAAAGTGATTCAGTGTGTGTGGGTGTACAGTTAAAGAGGGCATATAATTATATCTAAATCCCTGATTCTCATGATATTTTATACATTGTTCTTTTATCAAAACAATTTTGCAGATATTTGTTGAAAATCAGAATAACTTTTATTCTTCTTGTTTCTTCTTCCTCTTCTTCTTCTTCCTTCTTCTTCTCCCCCTTTTCTCTGTATTTTTCTTCTTCCCTTTTCCTTGTTTGTTCTACATTTTAAATAAAAATATACTTTTCAAAATTGCAACACCCACACCCACATCATCCCTAGTCTTGTTCTTAGTCACTCATATCATTTATATAATTTAAGTCAACAACCTAAATACAAATCCACCAAGCAAGAGACTGGCATAAAAGTCTAGCAGAGAGCATCTAAAAAAAATCAATGCATGATCGCTACATCAATCAGATGGGCTAGCCCAAATCCATAACATGTCAGGCCATGTACAACTTTTTCTCACTTAGTTTGTTGTCCTTTGTGAATCTGTCAATCAAAGCGCATTGAAGCATCTTCTCAAGTACATCATTCCATATCCTCCTTTGCAGGCACAAACTCTTGTCAGTCGTAATGCATGACAGAGGGTCTTAGCTAGGAGACTACACAGAGACAGCAGTCCATATGCCCTGCACTGTAGCTGCTCCTGACAGCAGGAAGACAGACAGAGTTAGACTCAGCCCAAGATTTTTTATGAAATCATCCTTATCAAGTTTCAAACTAGAGTCTGTTTCTGCAGACTAGTCCCATACATCCTCAGTTCTCTGGACAGCTTCTCAATGACTTGAGGTGTCATCCTCCATTGTACTTCTTCATAAGATGTGCTTATGTTTAGGGACATACTCTGTTTATATCTACATGTAAATATGTTATACGGACCTCTGCTCTTGCAGCTGAGTCTGGAATAAAGTCTTGAATTGAATTGAATTGTGAGATCTATTATTCTGACAGCTTCTAAATGACTTGAGGCATCATCTTCATTTGTACTTCTTCATAAGATATGCTTATGTTTAGGGACATACTCTGTGAGATCTAAAGAGGTTCACTGCATTTGTTTACCCCAGGTGCCACACTTTATACTAACACCCTTCTGGATGTCTAACATCTCTCAGCTTCTCTCAAGTAATTTTGTTTGATGGCCATTTTTATATGCACTTTGTATGACACATGCTTCAAAACATTAGGTCTTCACCTATTTTGTTTGTTTGCCTTGTGCATCACGTATTAAAATGTGTGAAAATGAAATGACATTGACATATTGCTTAATCCGAACATGAATTATACGGGAAATACAATGAGGGATCGTCCTTGAGTTGATTTGTGAAAATCTTTGCAATTACATTGATGTTCAATGCATTTGAATTAAATTTGCTGGTACTATACATGATGTTTACTTATGAGAAAGGAGACAATGTTGCATGGATCGAGGGAAACCAGATTGATGATGACAAAAAAAGGATAAATAACTTTAAGAGGGCCTATTATTGCTATTGAACAATATTGACAAACCCATTGTAATTGTTAGAACCAGGTGGTAATTTCCACTTCAAATTTATTCTTGAAGAGGTTTACAATTTCTTATGAGGCTCCCAGGAGAGAGAAATTAAATTTCAAGAAAGAACATACTGGTAAACATAAGATAAAATGAACAAACGAGACATAGAGAGAGAGTAAGGAGGGAGAGAGAGGGGAAGGGAGAGGAGAGGGAGAGGGGTAGAAGGAAGAGAAAAAGAAATATATACATAAAGAGAGAGAAAGAGAAATAGAGAGAGAGAGAGGGAGAGAGAGGGAGGGAGAGAGAGAGAGAGGGAGAGAGAGGGGAAAAGAGAAAGAGAGAGTGTGAAAGAGAAATAGAGAGAGAGAGAGAGAGAGTGTGAAAGAGAAATAGAGGGGGAAAAGAGAAAGAGAGTGTAAAGGAGAAATAGAGAGAGAGAGAGTGTGAAAGAGAAATAGAGAGAGAGAGAGAGAGAGAGAGAGAGAAATAGAGAAAGAAAGAGAAAATTATCTCACCTGTTTGTTTCCATGGCTGCGCAAATGAAATCCACGTCAACCAATGAAGATGTAAATGGAATGAGACAAAAGAGAATGAAAGCAGAGAATAACATTGATTAATGCCAACCTGATGAGGATCCTACATGATTACTTGTTTAACTGTTTCCAGTGCAAAATTAATCTATACAGGCATAGGGTTGTCATGAAGCTAAACACGACCAGAAACAGGTAATTTTGCAAAATCCATTGTGCTGCAAAAAACAATCCCTTCCTTGTGCCTTTTGTCTGTGCAAAACTGCATGTGTGGCAAACAAGCAAACATTCAGGGAGGTGGAGAAAGCAATCAAAGTGTTAAACATTTGTCAAACCATCAATGTGTTCCAGACACAGGCTCTTTTCTTTGTGGGATTCTACACGTTCTTACCCTATCACACACTCTAACAATTCAAGCGTTAAATAAACATTTTAAAGGATCAAGCAGTGATAACAATTTCAAAATGGTAGATGTACACTTTTAACATTCTGGATTCAACCTTAGATCCAGCATGTCAATAAATCTAAATCTACCATTTTTAAATTATTATCGCTCATTAGCCTTCTGAATGTTTAGTAGGTTTTTGGCCCTCGACAACCTACTAAATGGTGATTACATTTTTAGAGTGCATCGATCACCATGCTACTGAATGGCACTTGGGCAGCACTGTTTGCATTAGAATACTTTGTATTCAATATAATATGAGAAAAGAGAAGTGGGAAAAGTATAACTTATCAGAACATTGTTCCCATTGTACATTTCCTGTACAATTTTAGTGGAGGCAGTGTGAAAGGAAAAGAAAACCGTAAGACAACTCAATATCCTGTACATGTAATGTACATATTGCAATTAAGACAGAAAGCGAAGGAACTTGAACTCAAATTTATTGATTTATCATTTCACGGGGCTCAGTTTAGATTTCAATGACACTCATGGTACATATAAAACTGAAGGATTATAGTATAGCGTCTGGAGCCGAGACAAATGAAATGTACAAAACATACGTAACAAAAGTTAACACCCTCATGTTGCATTAAAATAAACTTTGAATTACATTTCAAGAACTTTCTTTGAAGGTAGAGATCGAAACATGATGATTGCAGTGCGTAGACAGATGTCATTATAACCAAGCATCAATATACACTCTTGTCTGTTAAACACATTTGCTCACATCTGCAACTGTCGTCTACGGTCTTGCGTTTTGTAATAAGACTGCAGTTCATGAACTTGTGAAGTCACATGACCTGAAATTTGTCCTCTGGCAAGTCTATAGATGACGATGAGAGAGAAAGGTGGGGGGACACAGATGGAGAGAAAAGAGGGAGGGAGAGGGAGGGAGGGAGAGAGAGAGAGAGAGAGAGAGAGAGAGGGGGGGAGGGGGGGGGGAGAGAGAGAGATGCAGGGAAATAAACTTGATGAAATGGGGAAAAGAGGGTGATATGGAAAAACAATACACAAAGTCTGGCACTTAGAAATAAGACTCACAAGAGAGACAGAGAGAGAGAGAGAGAGAAAGAGAAAGACAGAGACAGAGACAGATAGAGACAGTAGCAGATAGACAGACAGATATATATATTTCAACCTGAACATTATGATCAAACTTGTACATCGGCGTCAGTATTGTTGAATAGAAAAATAAGTCACTTCCTTCCGGGACTATATTATATACCTTAAGTCCCTTTTCTCTCAATGTATGTGAAATATATCCTGGAACACTAGAACATCATAATAGCACTCAAGCACTCAATAAATCAATCACTAATCGTGTATGGGATGGTGTTGGCAAAAAAATCTTGGGTTTTCTAAGAAAAAAATATGAAAATATATTACAAAACACATGGAGTTGTGAATCTGTACAATCCTAGGTACCCCTATACAAATTTAAGTTCGTCGCGAACTCGTATTATGCTCGTGGTAAGCTTAATAAGATCGTTTTTTAGGCTTTAAGCTCGTAACACGCTTCCAGGACGCTAGTAACGATCTTACAAAATCTTCACGAGCTCGTGGCGAACTCGCGGGTAAACTGGGCAGCTCGTGGCGAGCTCGTGGGTAAAAGGGGGAGCTCGTGGCGAGCTCGTGACGAGCTCGTTGGTAAAAGGGGGAGCTCGTGGCGAGTTCGTGGGTAAAAGGGGGAGCTCGTGGCGAGCTCGTGGGCAAAAGGGGGAGTTCGTGACGAGCTCGTTGGTAAAATGGGGAGCTCATGGCGAGCTCGGGCGTAAACTGGGGAGCTCGGGGGTAAACTGGGGAGCTCGTGGCGAGCTCGTGGGTAAAAGAGGGAGCTCGTGGCGAGCTCGTGGGTAAAAGGGGGAGTTCGTGGCGAGCTCGGGTTAAACTGGGGAGCTCGTGGTGAACTCGGGGGTAAATTCGGGAGCTCGTGGCGAACTCAGGTTTAAACTGGTAAACCCAGCCCTCTAGGGTGGACACCAAAGTTTCATAATTTTTTTTAAAATATCTATTTGATTCAAAATTGAACAATTCAATGAATTTTATATACACAATGTAGAAAGCCTTTCTTGTGAAAGATTAGAATGATTATAAATGAAGTTTTCTTAACAAAATTGTATTTTGTATTTTTCATATACGGTAACGCATGTTATGGGTGGACACCAAAGAATTTTTAGAATTTCAAACATGTGCTGTTTTTTTAACTATAACATTTTAAGCTTCATCTTTTTTTAATTGATTTGATCCATGGAGTTCTTCCAAGAAATAAACTGAGAATTGTCAAAGTTGTTCATATAATGTGCATTCATCATGCAGAAGCACCAAATGGAAAACGCGTTTTGCATGGTGGACACCATGCATAACAACTGTTACAAGATGTGAAATATGGTGATTATGAAAAAACTTTGCCACGCAACCTAAGGTTATTAATGACATGAGCATAAATAGATTCAGCACTTACTACCAGACAATAATTGAACATCAGATAGTCATACAAATTTAGAGAATACTCATTACCAGGAACTAGGTTTTTTCATGTCACGTTTTGGTGTACGTCCTAAAAAGGGCAAAAAATGGGTTTCACCTTACATAAAAATTTAAACCCAGGGTTTTGAAACACAACATTATTTAAGTTATCTCCTCTACATATCTGCATTAAGACATGGACAAAATTATCACCATAGAATATACTCTTTTATTTTTATACTTGGATCTGAAATATCCATGGTGAAATCTCTCCAGTATCATAAAAATACACATATGCAATTACATTGAAAGTTCAGAAAATTTATGTTGAAATTGAAACAATAGCTTTTTCATGCTGAAGTAACCTGTCAAATTTCTTGTAAATTTAATTAAATTCTTTTGAAACTTTGAAACATTTATTTGCAGCATACCAGATTGGGAAGGGGGGGGGGTGCCATTTATTCTGACTGCATGTATCATATATTTAACACCCTGAAATGTTACTATCAGGTATTACATAAGACCACACACCCAGTGCTTGATTCGAGGTCAACTCCCTGTTTCTATCTTGCTCTCTCCTTATGTACATAGGATCCCCCCTGCTTAGACACAAATCCCTATTCCTCTCTTCTCCCCTCTCTCACTTTCTTGTGTACTCTCTCTTGTGGAATTACCACTGGTAGCATTCCTGATAACCCTTACAAAAAAAATCTCTATGGTACACCATACAAACACCATAGCAAATCTACCATAGATTACCATACAAACACCATAGCAAATCTACCATAGATCTACCATTCATTTACCATAGAACTAATTAAAATAATTGGGACAAATTTATTCATTTATTCAAATTAGGCCACACCTACATATTCTACCATAGAGCCACCATTCATATACCATAGAGCCACCATAGAGTCAACATTCATCTACCATAGAGCCATCATTCATCTACCATAGAGCCACCATTCATCTACCATAGAACCACCATTCATCTACCACAGAGCCACCATTCATCTACCATAGAGCCACCATTCATCTACCATAGAGCCATCATTCATCTACCATAGAGCCACCATTCATCTACCATAAAGCCACCATTCATCTACCATAGAGCCACCATTCATCTACCATAGAGCCACCATTAATCTACCATAGAGCCACCATTCATCTACCATAGAGCCACCATTCATCTACCATAGAGTCACCACTCATCTACCATAGAGCCACCATTCATCTACCATAGAGTCACCACTCATCTACCATAGAGCCACCATTCATCTACCATAGAGCCACCATTCATCTACCATAGAGCCACCATTCATCTACCATAGAGCCACCATTCATCTACCATAGAGCCACCATTCATCTACCATAGAGTCACCATTCATCTACCATAGAGCCACCATTTATCTACCATAGAGCCACCATTCATCTACCATAGAGCCACCATTCATCTACCATAGAGCCACCATTCATCTACCATAGAGCCACCATTCATCTACCATTCACTACCATTCAAAATATGCAACAAAATGTTACGCTTAATTGTAGCATTTTGAAATGGTATATTCAGAATGGTAGTTTGGATCTTGATCTATGGTTAGCAGAATGGTGGCTGTAGTGCGTTCTATAGTACACAGAATGGTGACTATAATATATTGAATGTTTGAGAAATCTAAACTTAAATGTTAACTTACAATACACACATGATGCTTATTAAAAAAATGAATTGAATTAAAGTGGCAGGATGTATTTGGTTTATATCAAAAGTTGTATGCATGTACATATGCCAAAAAATAAAAATAAAAGGCAAGTAAAAAATATATCACATAAACATGTACACTACAAACTAAAATGAAAGGCAAGTTCGTAATTGCAACACATATTACTTGGACTTATTCTACTAAGCTGTAATAAATACCCACATATATATCACCCTAGTTCCTCTAAATAACTAAAATGTCATATATAGTGTGTATGTAAACATGACTAAAATGAAAGGCAAGTTAAAAATATATAAACATGTACAATAAAAACTAAGGCACTGAGTTGCAGCACAGAAATGTTCTAAAACATTGTATAAACATGTACAATGAAGTTCAAGTCAAAGAGGTTGTATGTGAGTTCGAAGAGGAGCAGAAAAGGCAAGCCTTGCTGCTCATTTTTGGAGTCTCTGACGGCGATCAAGGTCCCTCTGGCTGAGAACACTAAAGACCCAACCCTTTCTATACTCAAACTGTTTACATGATTTTGATAGACCCTCTGTGTCAAACCATCTCCCCTGTATCGATCGGTATCACTACCCCCACCCCATGATTCGATGTGTAACCTCGTCTATGCCATGTTCCATCGTAGGGCACTGCCACGTCCACATAATCATTTTCCCTGATGGTCAGATCCTTGTCCATGGTCCTTTGACGTAGGCATGCTGCCACCTTCTTCTTCTGATCCTTACTGGTCTGCAAAAAAAAAAGAGTTTGTAATAAATAAACAGTAAATTTCAAGTTCCCTCAGGCCCCTTACTTATTAGACCCTATTACAAATATTTAGATTTGATTAATTTTCATCCCTTGATTTGACAAGAAGGGATATTGATGTACATGTATTATACTGTCTATCGACCATAACTAAGAAATAAAAATATGTTTGGATTAAATGTACGTAAAGCTAAGATAATTTAATGAAGAAAACACAAGGCTGGTGACTAACCTCTTGGGATAAGGAAGATAAAGTGGCTATGTGCCTGTTGTAGCTAGGGGCTTCGACTAGTGGGGCTGTTCCGAGGATGGTCAGCAAGTCGCACAAGCTATCCCGTGCCAAACCAACCTCCGTTGCTGCCAGAGTAGCTCTGCGGTTTATTTCTGCAGACTTTCCACGTCCTTCGCATTCATTTTCTGATGAAGAGAATGTCCTCTCCTTCTTGCAAATGAAGCAACCAAGGACCATGGCGCAGTTCAACCCATTCCTCTTTGACAAATTCTCCAGAGGAATGACATGCCCTGTAAAAGATATCCAAAACACTTTATGGAACAGGGAAAATATTTTGAAAAGCACAATCCCCAAATAATAACAAAGTGCTAGTTATGACATGCATGTAGTATATTACACAAATACACATTTTCACAGATTTCACGACAATTCCGATGCCCCCACTTCGATTCACCATAGAGTAAAGTAGGGGTTTTTCGGCCCCTTAAGACAAAATCCTATTTTTTGGACTCTTTACTTCCTATTTATTATCATTTCTTGTTCAAATCATGAAGCAAGTACTATTATTATTTAAACACAGAAAGAATCCCAGAAAAAAAATCATGAATTGCCATGACAACATTCATTTCAATTTTCACTGTTTCGGAGGTAGTTTTCGGCCTAGCGAGGCAGTTTTCGGCCGCATGTACAAAGTCAATAGGAAGCAAGCAAGCGTGCCATGCGTTTCCCCACTGATCTATAGCACTAGCGGCTGGAGCAGGTATCCCAAGCCGGAGCTTCCCGTGCCGAAAACTACCTCTGCGGTGATCAGAAATTGGAATCTGAATTAGACAGAGATATCGTGTGTGCGCTGCGGTATCCGGCTGCATTGATTAAATACATGCGATGAGATACTTTTGAGCTTGCGACTCACACAAAATCGGACTCTAAATCTGAAAAATACTTGAAATAAAGCTCATTTTATGGTACCCATGTTCCTTACACGCGTAAGATACTGTACTTAATTTTTCAGAGCGGGACCGCCGATTACATTGCTAAAATGTGATATTTTAGGATATATTTTCCATTGCAAATGTGGTTCTTCAGTGACTCTGACATGGTATGGTATGTGTGGGATATATGATATGCTGTTATGCGATGGATTTTAAAGGGATTTTACCATGCATCCAACGGATCGGCCGAAAACTGGTGATGGTCGATTACCCCCTCCTTTACTCTATTCTTAATCATTTGATTTGGCTTTTTGAGCCATTCACCCCTTGAGCATGCAATACAATCTCAAAGTAACAGTTTGCAAACTAAAAATATTGTTTGATAGTAAGTACATACCTCCCAGACACACGTGAGCCTTTTGCAAAGCAGCTGCAAGTTGTGGGCCACTAATGACGCGGATCTTCACATGTGGGACCAGGGTCAAAAATAGGGCTGTCCAAACACTTATTCAGGGAAAGCTTCATCGATCTCTGAATTAGCTGTTAGTTCTTCTGGCACCTCTCCAGCATTCATGTTACTCTTCTGTAATATCTGGTATTGATCTCCTTTGAACACCTTCCTCTTCCTCACATATTTTGGAGTTTTGCGAAGCATTTTCAGTGAGTAGAAATTGGAGACCAACGGCTAGAAGAGTTATTCAAATCTTGGGCACAAGGTGGCAGCAAACAGCCCTTGTTATCTACTTTCTGCTGATATACATTACTTGTTACAATTTGGTTTAGAATTTTTTATTTAATGATTTCTTTAAAGGGAAAGTCCACCCTGAAATTAAGTTAGTTTTAATAGGAGTAGAAAAATGAGAGAAACAAGTCATTGAAAGTTTGAGCAAATTCCGATTAAAAATAAGGAAGTTAGGATTTTTGAAGTTGTGATCAATCAAACACAAATTGGCAACTCTATGACGTATCATGCGAGCTCAACTTCCATTTGCTCAGTACTAAAAAAATCTAAAATTTTCATTTTCCCTCAAGAAAAATTTCAACGATACATGCACCCTAAATATAATAATTGCAAATATGTTTCTATACTCCCCCTGCAAGGAACAAATATATATTCCGTCATCAATAACGAAGAAAACATGATTTTATGGAATATTATGCACAAAGCAAATGAAGGAGAGCTCGTATGATAAGTCACAGAGTTGCCAATTTGTATTTGATTGATCACAACTTCAATAATTCATAACTTTCTTATTTTCATTCAGAATTTGCTCAAACTTTCACTCACCTGATTTTCTTATTATTCTGCCTCTATCGAAACAAACTTATTTTGGGGGTGGACTTTCCCTTTAATTGATTGAGACTTGAGTGCAAACAGAGGCAGTGGAGCGACTTCCAAAGTGGGGGGGGGGGGGGGCGGGGGGGCACCAACAAAAAGGGCACTTTCTGGAGAAAATTAATAGGGCACCTACAAAGGGAAATCTCAAAGAGAAAATATATATTTAAAAAAAACAACATTTGTATATACCCCCTATATCGTGATTACATTATCAGGGATGATTTCAATATTTTTTTATCTTTATAAATAAGATTTGTGAGGTCACAGTGCGAAAAATTACATCAATTATAAAGAAGAAAAACCCAATCCTGATGGGTTTATTACATTATCATAACAGAAGACTGAAAAGACCTTTGATAAGTACCATAATTATAACATCTAGAAATGCGAGTGTGCTTTGGGTGATATTGCTCTTAGTAGCTGGAAATTAGGGGCACGTGATGAGAGGAAAAGGGGACACTTATCGAAAAGGGTGACACTTATTAGAAAAGAAAAAGAGCGCATGTCAAATTACAATGGGTAATTATCAGAAGGTGAAAATGGGGCACGTATCATTGTTAAAGGGTAATTATCTGAGGTGAAAAGAAAAGGGGCACTTATGAGAATGAAAAAGGGGCACTAATAATCAGGGGAAATGTTCATTAGTTGTACGAAAAGGGGCACCGATCAGTTTTTAATAGGGGCATTTAATACGAGGGGAAGGGGGGATTTATGAGAAAGGGGAAGTGCAGGCTATTGAGGCACATGTCAAGATAAATGGGGCACTTATGAGAGATGAAAAGGGGGTAATTATGGGAAGGGGATGGGGCACTTAAAAGAAGGAAAAAGAGCATTTATTAGGAAGGGAAGGGGCATTTATGATAAAGGGAAGGGGCTCTCTTTTAAATGGGGCAAAATAAAAGGGGCAGTTATTGAAGATGAAAAGAGCAGGAGGAAAAGGGACACTTGTCAAAATAAAACGAGTACCTCTCAGAATTTAATAGGGTCATTTACTAGAGATGGAACGGGACTATGAGAATGAAAAGGGGCACTTTAAAAAAATAATAGGGGCACTTTTTAAAGTAAAGGGGCCCTTTTTATGTAAAAAGTGCCACGTTAGAGCCACCATGGAGTCACTAAGCACTAGAAATATATCATAAAGTCATCATCCACCATAGAGCTACTGCTAAAATATCTTACACCACAGGGATATACCATTCATCGGAAATACCATATAATATACTCTACCATATATCATACCATAGAAATACCATACACCATACCCCGCCCCCCCCCCCCCCCCCACTCAGTGTTATTTAGGGTACGCATATGCTCGTTCCCTCTTTTTGAAAGCACCCCCTATCTGAGGACTGCCAACATTTTTGAACCCCCCCCCCCCCTTTCGCTGGCTTTTCGCGGGCTTTTCCTGCCTTGGAGACCCCCCTAAATCAGGAAAAATGCTCAATGTACCCCCCTAAATTCTGAATAATTTCTCAGGAGTCCAAAGAGATGAGAGAAAAAAAGAAAAAACACCCCCTTTTTAAAGAAATCTCCGCGTGAAAAGTCAAATACACCCCTTTTTTTTTTACAATTCTCGGGCCGGACTTTGTCGCACGAAAAGTACCTCTTTACCGGACATTTTGGCAACACGCATGTGGTCATTCCGACCCCTGAGTGTGGGGGCCGGGCACCATACAGCCACCATAGAGTTACCATAGATCTACCATTCACTTTAGAGCCACCATAGAATCACATAACCACCATAGATATACCTTAAAGTCATCATCCACCACAGAGCTACCACTGAAATATCCTCCACCATAGGGATACCATTCAACAGAAATACCATAGAAATATATTCTACCATATAACATACCGTAGAAATACCATACACCATACAGCCACCATAGAGCTACCATAGATCTACCATTCACTTTAGAGCCACCATAGAGTCACATAACCACCATAGATATACCATAAAGTCATCATCCACCATAGAGCTACCACTGATATATCCTCCACCATAGGGATACCATTCAACAGAAATACCATAGAAATATATTCTACCATATAACATACCGTAGAAATACCATACACCATACAGCCACCATAGAGTAACCATAGATCTACCATTCACTTTAGAGCCACCATAGAGTCACATAACCACCATAGATATACCATAAAGTCATCATCCACCACAGAGCTACCACTGAAATATCCTCCACCATAGGGATACCATTCAACAGAAATACCATATAAATATATTCTACCATATAACATACCGTAGAAATACCATACACCATACAGCCACCATAGAGCTACCATAGATCTACCATTCACTTTAGAGCCACCATAGAGTCACATAACCACCATAGATATACCATAAAGTCACCATCCACCATAGAGCTACCACTGAAATATCCTCCACCATAGGGATACCATTCAACAGAAATACCATAGAAATATATTCTACCATATAACATACCGTAGAAATACCATACACCATACAGCCACCACAGAGCTACCATACATCTACCATTCACTTTAGAGCCACCATAGAGTCACATAACCACCATAGATATACCATAAAGTCATCATCCACCATAGAGCTACCACTGAAATATCCTCCACCATAGGGATACCATTCAACAGAAATACCATAGAAATATAGTCTACCATATAATATATCATAGAAATACCATACACCATAGGACGGCATCAATGATATACCATTGACCATAGAACTCCACCATTCAGCAATTGTGTGGTATACCATAGAAATATATTCTACCATATAATATATCATAGAAATACCATTCACCATAGAGCCGTACCATAGGAATATCATAGATTTTTTTTGTAAGGGAAGAATGAATTGATTTAGGCCCATTTGGTCAAGTCTTTTTCTATCTTGCTGTTGTGGAGAGCAGACATGGGTTTTGAATGGTATTGCAGCTCCTTTGTTTTAGGTAAGAGAAAAACTAATTTCTCACACCTTTTACCTAAATGTTCTATTGTGTATTTATAATAAGACTAGGCCAACAGTTAGGCCTACCTCTCTTATACATTTATGAAAGAGAAGTGTAGAGTAATGATTAATTAGATAATGTATTCATTCTCTTTCTAGTGAGATATCTTTTCATATATTGGGAATTTTGTTTATCTATCTAGCACATAGTATATTCACTTCAATAAAGTAACATTAGATATCTATGTGATAAGGTTATATTTATGTAAACATTTCTGTATCTTGAATGACAAACCCTACCTTTTAGGCAACATGAGAGCACAAGAATGCATTTGGTCTGAATACTGAAAACTAGTTTGCTAGTGGATATAAAGAAGGGATTGTTCTAGAGATCCTATAGTGTACATGTATCATTACTTGGTACCCTGGGTTGGTGAATACACTGACAAAAAGGGGGGATGCTACATAGTTATTGTATGAATACCGCTTTATTAGTTTGGATCTTTGTAATTTTATGAGTGATTAGAATGATGGATAAATAATTACCAAAATGGATAATAATATTTCTTCAAAGGCAGAGTATTATACAGTGTAATTACTCACATATTTAATTTCATTATACAGTGTAATTATATAATTTGGAAATCATTTATTCATTCATGTTGTTGTGTGAAGTTGTGAACCCTGCATACAGGTAACATGCATTATACAGGGTTTGTATTGACTCTAATAAAGAGCTACTTGTTTTAAGTTACATTTTATGTTAAATCTTTTCTTTCTGTTCTTTGATATATTAGTGATTTAATTGATTGATATCCCATAAGTAATGAGCTTTTAAATTGGCCTAAGAGTATCACTGTATTCTTCACCAGCTAGCCAACTGAATTGCCCTTGCATGGCCAGCCTGCAGATGTTACCAGGATATTGAAAGGCTGATAAGTTAGATAAATATATATATATGCTTGCCAATAGCTCAACAGGATCATCAAGGTCACCTCTATATGTAGACACAAATTTGTTCTCAATGCCAACCTACTGTTAAGCACGCCATTATAAAGCGTGCAGCCATTTTTTCCACGAGATTGTCGACGAACTCGCCGACGAGCTCGTCGACGAACTCATTGACGAACTCATTGACGAACTCGCCGACGAACTCGCCGACGAACTCGTTGACGAACTCGCCGACGAGCTCGCCAACGAGCTTATCGGCCAGTGACGAGCGTGTATATTTCGAGCACGCCAACGAGCTCGCCAACGAGCACGCCAACGAGTTCGTAGCTAATTTGCATATTTGGAACGAAACGAGCTCGCTGGCGAGTTCGTCTGCTTGCTCGTCAACGAACTCGTTGGCGAGCACGCTGACGAGCTCGCGTGTAAGCGTACTGAAATTTGTATAGGGGTACATTGAGACAATAAGCAATCATTGCTTCTTCAAAATGTTTTACTGTTAATGGGGTATTCTTCAGAAATATTGCATGACAGATATACATGTACCAGGTATTTTGCCAAGTGCTTGA